GCAATATAATGAATGACTACTGACTTATGAACGTACAGTGTTGTATACAAGTGCACCAATTCTAGCTACCACATTTAGGAAGTACAGAAAAAAGTAAAGCAGAGAGATTATATGAAGCTACAGTGACGAAGATGTATGTGAAAGATTGATCAGATACGAACTAATGAGGATTTTCAAAATCCAAATGATGACAAGGAGTGTATAATATATTGGTGTTATTAAGAAGGATTTTTAGCCACATTACGAGGATCTTCCAACTGTAGACTGTCACAATACAAAACATCCCATCAGACATTTCAAACTCCTCCTTGTTACTTAAACCAACAGTCAGTGAATTCAAAGATTAGTTTGACCATTCCAAACCGATTTCCAACTTAGTTCTACTTCAGCTAACATCTCTGTTGAGGAGGAGCTTCATACTTAACATTCCATTTAACAATAAAATGGTTTCATCAAATATTAGCTAGTGAACCAAAACGTGAACGATCAAAAACCTTTGATCGTTACATTTATTCTATTTTCAGTGGCCACGCTTCATACTCATAAAGAAGGACAGAATGAACTCAAACACAGTGTACACATCCTTTGATATGTTGACGAATATCAAGCCCCCCTCAAAGGTAACGAAATTCGCTGTTGACGTTTCTACAGTAACCAGCCCATTTGGGTGAATGCACCTTCCTAAAATAAGTGACATGGTCAATACATCCAGTCACTTTACTCTTTACTCTTCAACTATGAATAGATGCAGAACAGTTCTATAGCATTATCTTACAACTGGGAGGGGCAAAACTCGTATGCACAACATACTCGAATTTTTTTAGTTTCTTCAGAAGACTCTGTGTTTTGTCATAGCCTTCACCTAGAAGGACAATAACATCTGCATACTCAAGACCAACTGCATTTCTCTCAGGTTAGAAAATATGGCAGGTTTTAAGCGTCAGTAAGTACGCCTTCGTTCCAGTACCGAAAGAAGGATGAAGATTTCATCAATGCATCTAAGAATCTGCTTGAATTCTCTGAAGTTTTTTTCTCCATACTGTTTCTGTATGACTATGGATCCTAGATACTATTATTCAAACTGAGCCCCTATGGTTAACACAGGAAATTTTATTCGTTTATATATTCTAATCTGGTGGAAATATCTAGCATTCAAGAGAATATCAGATAAACTGACCAACAATTTCGATGAAAGCCAATTCTTCAAGACATGTAATTTTCTTGTTACACATAACTGTTCAATATATATATACATATATTGTAATCCAAACCAATAACTAAGGCTAAGCAGTCTTCATATTTCCATCTTTGTTTTTATTAAACACAAACAATGAATCATCATTCAATGACTAAATGAAAAAGAACTAATAGAATAAGTAATTAAGTGTTCGAAATGTATAAATAACCAATAAATCTTACAACCACACAGGGGTGTGATTGTGTATATTTGTGTACATATATATAATAGAATGAGAGGAAGAGAGAGAGAATAAAATTGCAATCAGTAATTCTGAATAAATCAGACCCTATTAACTACTGTAATCATTAAACCCAATGACTTACAATACAATGCAAAGCCTATGTGAGACACACTTTTTTTTTATTCCAATGATTATTCTAATCAATATTCCATGTGTATGCTTGCAGACTAACTCATCCAACTCCATGTTAGTCTAATTTACATAAAATGCTAAATTATACTTTATAAATTCATCTAATGTCACACATAAATGCCACCTATAACGAACTTGACAGTGAATACACCGAAATACACCTGGAAATAATTTATTTTATTTTTACACTGAAAGCTACATATACACCAATGTACAGTTATGTCTTGATAACGCTGAATAAGGCAGGAAACTGGGTAATACGATACAAGTTCATATATTAGGCTATGCGGGCTTGAACACTACCTAACTGTCTAGGCCATAGTAGATGAAAGAGGTTCTAACCTTCATCTCATCTGTTGAAAGTCAGATGCTTGCATCTGAGTATCAATCAGAAAACTGTACATAAGTGATTTTCAACTATTTCGTTCTAAGTAGGACATCTTTAAAAAACCTAGCAACTGAATATTTCACTAAGTAGCACCATTAAGAAAAAACACCCACTACTTCATCGTCAGTGATGGAGTTCTAACCTATGTACATTATTGAAATGTTCTGTTATTACACATTTCCCAGTAATACGTCCATTTTGTAAGAAGTGACAATAACTGGAACTGTTTAGTGAATGATTATTAATAACATCAACAAAGTCATGAATGTTCAAGTGTTGATTTGTAGGGATTTGATTGGCTACAGGATTTCATCATGAGCTGACATTAGTTAGAGAACCATTGGAAAACCCGGGAGTACTGGACAGCTGTTTCATCCTAGTTTGGGACTCTTCAGCAGTACGCACCCACCAACGGGGTTCGAACCCAGGACCTTCTGGTTACAAGGCTAGCGAGCTCGTATACCATTAAGCCACTGGGACCCGATCCAATGGCCAGTGCATGAATTCTAACTTCTGCCAATTCACGACATAGCGCGACCCCTAGCCAATGTCTAGGGTCATGAATGTTATTTTAAACGAGCAACAGTAATATATATGCATACTAAAAAGTTCGTAAATAACCCAAATCGAGCTTAGAAAGTTTTATTCTTTATCGCATTTCATTTACAAGTCGTAGGCGAATTTTAGCACTGCATAATGTATTAGGAAACTTCAAAGTAATATGGAACGACCATTATCTTCAGAAGTGAGATTTCTGATGTAAGCAAAGTGTATATCATAACGCTAAATACACTTTAAAAAGTTCTAATTTTAATAATATTAGTTGTCTACAACAGTATGATGATTTTAAAATAAGGTAAAGATGTTTTCAGAAAATATTTGCTATAGTGAACTGACACTATGGATGAAGGAACTTAAAACAGCTAGGGATCCCTGAACTTACGTTTCATCTTAGTGTGGACATTAATAGTGTGTCTTTTACAACTCAATAAGAATCGATTTTAAGACCGTGATATGTATTGAATTAGTTGCGTTCTCTGAGCTGGTTGATTTAATTCCGAGGCTTTCGGCATACTTCTAGACAACATTTTCAGCGATGAAGACGTTATCGGATCATTACAGTTCTTACGATATGTATATATTGGAAGATATTCACCATAAGTTTAAGAAACCTTACAAACAAAACTCTTTAGTCAAGACATGAAGACACACTTGAAGATATGCTGTATCCGCATTGACTAACTATCCAGTTTAGTATATATCTCATTTCATACTTTCATAAGCCCTTCCACTAGCATAAAGTTTAATTTTTGCAGTATGACTGTAAAGTCTACATGAAAACTGAAATTTTTTGGTTTTATAAAACACAAAATAATCGAGCAAAGAATATTCTTTTCGATAAATTCCTCTTCCAGGCTCTACAATTATATATCTGTATGTTTATATACACAAAATATTTTAATTAGTAGTTAATAACAATATTAGCGTTTTTTTAAATAATATCGATGTGTAAAGTATGATCAATGCTATTGCAGTTCATTAAAGATGCTTAAATTATAATAATAATAAAGATATAACAGCGAATAGAATATCAACTAAAATTAGGGAAATTTCACAAAAATTCTGGATTATTCAAACCTGGATGGCCAAGGTAATGATAATGACTGAACTAACTTCTTTTGGATGCATAAATTAGGCGTGTTAATATGGATCCCCACAGCCTCAGCAATATTTAGTAGTCCAACTCTTAAGGTAAAATTGAGATTCGTAGGTATGCGGTAAATGACCCTGACAGCATGGTTAACGTCAATCTTGTGTTCTGTCTCCACAAGATGAGACAGAATAGCGCTGCGAATAGATTTTATTTGACCTTTGCTTAACAAGGCAGGGTGATGTTTTGAAATTCGACGAGAAACACGCCTAATTGTACGGCCTATGTAACCGGCTCCACAGGAGCAGTTAAATTGGTATATACACATGGAAGAGACGAAATTAGGCAGTTTGTCTTTTATTCCCGAACGCAGAAGAGGAGTGGTTTTAAAGATACAGCGTAACTGAGCAGCAGAGAATGCTCTTTTTACCGCATTTCTGAGGCGATATGTTAGTATCTCACTTGTGTTGTCTCCTAGGAACTGCATCTGTAAGAACAAGGCTTTCTTTGGAACTGTTGGTAACTTGGACTGTTTTGGTTTTAGATTCATATTCGGGATAACCATTATCACTTAGCAACCGTTTAATATTGTTAAGCTCCTCGTCAAGACATTCATCCGAACAAATCTCTCTTGCTCTGTGGACCAAGCACTTTATTAGATTGCGTTTGTATTTCAAGGGCACAAAGCTGAGAAAATGTGTGTACTGGCCCGTTGATGTAGGTTTTCTATAAACACTTCTTCTTATTGTGCCATCCTCTTTTCTGGTCATAAGGACGTCTAGAAATGAAATACTAGAGTCTTTTTCTTTTTCAATAGTAAAATTTATTGCAGAATGTACCTCATTAAATTTATCCAGGATGTTCTTTGCCTCACTAAAGTATGATCATTTGACAGTTGAATCCACGTAGTTCAGTGATTAAAGTCATCGCTGTGTATAGTTCCACTTGTAATATTTGAATGTTTGACACACAACATCACAAACCATAAGTAGTTACGTGAGCGTATGAGAAATATTCGTGTTTAGAACTTCTCTACTGAGTGGCAACAAAGGTAGCTGACAAATTTGAGTCAACTGTTATTGTCACCAAGCCAACTAACATTTCACTATACTTATACGTTGAGTTTCAGTCGACTAAAGGTTTTTCTCACTAGAATCCAACAACAAGTCGTACTTGCAACACTAAGTTAACACGTGTGTCTTTAGAGAGTCGAATCAGAATAAGTCAACTCTGAAACTAGCAACTTTCGTACTGAGTTACTTAATTCAGGTGAATGACTAAGTGGTTTTCACATTTTCATTGCAGTTTAAGAAACTTAACTGAAACAAAAAAAAAACACTAAACATACCATGATGTTACTACAGTTTCGTCTTCATTACTGATGTTGTGTGCTGACAATTTTTCATTATGCATTTGATTATTTGAAAATTTCGCATTTAATTTCGTATTAGTTATTTGTTCAGCGTTGGCATACAATGGTTGTGAAGTCTCACTTGAATCACTCGCATCATATCTCATCATCATCATGTTCATCAGCCATATTGTCTTCTTGTTCTCGTCCTTGAAAGTTACTATTATTATTAACATTCTCCTGATCACATAATGTTTCTGAAATGAATGTCTCCTGTGAACCAAAATTATTATGTATGCTATTCGGTTCTTGAATTCGTGGTCTTATTAATGTATTACACGGTGAAGGATGATTATTTGAATGTTTTGAATGCTCTGAAGTATCATTGCAGTCGAACAGTGTTTGACATGAACGTTCAACCAAACACTTACCATTCGATTTGATAACAACATTGTCATCTGGAAATATCCATGAAGATGAAGAAGATTTTGTATCACTATCATAGGCTAATGAAACAGCGATTTCTTTAGGCAGTATATTTGATGAATACTGATGTTGACGTTCATAAGGCCGGGGGTGATTTGATTCATTTTTTTGTAAAACAAAGTCATTCACAGAATTAGCACGAGGTTTTGTAGCTAATGCTGAGTCGATAAAATCAGAAGATGTGATGAGGTTTTTCTTTTTTCTTGGTTCTGATGAAAACCAACAATTGTGTGTTTCAGCTATGTGGAATTCTTCACATTCTTTTTGTAATGCTTGTTCTATAATCCATTGTTTAGAGTCTGTGGCTCGTCTAGAGTGTTGTGATTGTAAGGTTAACTGTTTCATTTGACGAAACAGTCTTGTTTGAAATTTATCAGCATTTTCTATTAAAAAGATGAATAATCCACGACCGCCTTCACAACCACTTCCAGTGATCAGATAAAATCGTTTAGTGTATACACCAAATCTGGAGGTTTAAAAATATATATGTATTTATTTCAATAAAAATAAATAGACAAATTAATGCATCAAATATACCACAGTTCGGAAGTGTATTTCATTGTAAAAGTATGAAACCGAAATTTTCAATTTCAGTTATAAAAGTCTAGCTTCAAAATACCAATTAAATGTAACTGAAATTCGAAATATATAAAAGACGTATTTCGATAAATCTAATTCACTCAGTGCGTCGGTGGCATAGTGGTTGGGACGCTCGCCGACCATGCACATGGTCCGGGGTTCGATCCCCGGCCGACGCACTCCTTTACCTCGCTAAGCCAGAAATAATGCTGGTGAAGAGGAAAGGTTGGGCATGAGGCTAGCAACCCCATCCTGTAAAATAAACACCACTGCTACAGAAACTTCAAGGCACTAGCTTGAAGCCCTACGTTCCACTGGGGAACGTGAAGGAAAATATGAAAAATAATTTCTATAAATCTAATTCACTCAGTATAAAGATAAAATGAATTACTTAATCTGACTATTTTATCCCTTGTTGTTATTACTTCTAAAATTACTGAACAAACCACTTGGTATGCCAATAAATGGCAAAATTAAATGTATCCTAGTGATTAATTATTTCTGGACAGCTTCTTCTTCTTCACTGGTCCACGAATCTCTGTCAAACACTTCGGGATTGAATGACATGGAAAATTTATTCTAACTAAAATCAGACGGAGTGGAACACTCAGTGAGGAAAAATTTCTAAGACAGAAATCTTAGAAAGACTCCACTGAACAGACTGAGCTACAATTCACAAAAACTTTAAAGGAAATGAAAGAATAATCATTCATTATCAAGAAGCCAAATAGGAACAAGTTTTTCCATCCACTCGTGTACAGCTGACTAAAAGTGCATAAAGAAGATGTTTCACTCCGCTCACTACTAGATTTTTATAAATTCTCGATATAATTTAGTCTCTAAGAGGCCAGCAGAGATCTCTGAACCAGTGAAGGAGAAGTTGTCGATAGACAATCTACAGGACACATTTAACTCTCTCGATTCACTTAAAACGAATGGTCTCCTTAGACATCGTTTCTCTACCCACTAAACTATCGGTATTTTATGTTATCTAATCCGGTCGAATAACATAAATGTTTGTGTACTAATCTCTAAATAACCAACAGGCATTACATAGACATGTTGTTTTTATTCTAAGGATCTGGATAATTGTACATTATTACTCACTGATACATAAAATAGTTTGTATCTATATATATACTGTACCCCACTGGGTACCCTGGTGAGTGTATACTGTGAAGAGTCCCAAAGCATGACGAAACAGTTGTCCAGTACCCTCACGTTTTCCAGTGGTTCTCTAACCGATGTCAGCTCATGATGAAATCATTTACTTGAGCTGACTGTGACGATGCTATCTGAGTTCTGCCAATCAAGTTGGCAATGTATTCACTAAGCTAGATGACTCGTCGTCTCGAGTTACTTTGAGTTCATATCGGTTGATTCGAGGCTGTCAGCCTACGAACCGACCTAAGGCATTAGAATGATGTGTTCCATGTGCTCTGCATTTTTACATTTTACAGCATCTCAGCATCTATTACTGCATACCTTATCAAGTGTAATATTCCATTCATAAAACATGATAATATTAGGTAGCTTATTGTTATTATTGTTTCCTTTAATTCCTAGAGGAACATAGGGATTCAGCCGTGCGTCTCCATTGCGTTCGGTTCTCTGCTAGAGTTTTCACCTGGCTCCAAGTCTGCCCACACGTTTTCATCTCCTCTTCACATGACCTCCTCCAAGTCACCCTTGCACTGACGACCAACTCGCCGCTTCCCTTTCGGGTTCCACTCGAGCAATGGCTTGTCTAGTGATGTCACTTGATGATTGTTTCCTCAGAGTATGGCAGCCAATCCATCTCCATTTCTTCCTGCATATTTGTTGCACAATCGGTTCCTGGTTGGTTCGCTCTCAGAGATCTCTGTTGCTGATCTTTCTGGCCGGCCATCTGATCTTGAGTATTGAGCGAAGACAACTGTTGATGAAGGTCTGTAGTTTGTTTGAGATGCTCTTTATGACGCGCAGTGCAAGTCTCTGATCCGTATAGTAGCACTGACTTCACATTGGAGTTGAAAATCCGGATCTTATTTTTCATGCTGAGAGTGCTGTTGACCTCCACACAGACTTGAGAGTAGTGAAAGCTTGTCTTGCTTTCCCGATCCTCGCTTTGATATCCTCGTCAGTTCCGTCTGCCTGTAGTTGAAACGATGCTTCCCAGGTGTAGGTAAAGGAGGTTGTTTCTTTCAGGTTCCTCCCATTTATGCTGATTGTTGTCAGTTGTTGTTGTTGCTGTTGTTGGTGTTGCCCAGGAATTTTCATCACCTCTGTTTTATCTATGTTCACCTGAAGTCCTTCCTATCTTTGATGCTTCTTTTGCCAACTTGTTGCTTTTCGCTTGCATATCTTCCAGTTTGTGGGAAATCAGACATATATCATCGGCGAAGTGCAGATCCTCCAAGTATTTTGTGTGAGTCCATTTTATGCCTGTTTCCTCATTGCCCGCTGTTTGTCGCATTATCCAGTCTACTGCAATCAGGAAAATCATTGGCGATAGTAGGCAGCCAGCTTGTCTTACTCCTGTCCTCACTTCGAAGGGTTCCGTAAGTTTCCCGTTGTGGATTACTTGGCATGCAGCATTGTCGTACAGCTGTTGGATGAGATGTATAATTGTCGGTGGCACCCCATAGTAGCGAAGTAGTTTCCAAAGCACCTCTCGATCGACGCTGTCAAAGGACTTTTCAAAGTCGATGAAGTTGAGATAGAGAGGTAACTGCCATTCCAAGCTTTGTTCAATGATGATCCGCAGTGTTGCAATTTGATCGATGCATGACTTGTTTCTCCTGAATCCAGCCTGTTCCGGTCGAAGTTTTTCATCCAGGGCATGTTTGATTTTCTCCAGGATGATGCGGCTTAGTATTTTGCTTGGGATAGACAGGAGCATAATTTCGCGCCAGTTCTTGCATTGACTTAGATCTCCTTTCTTTGGTAGTTTGAATAAGTATCCTTTCTTCCAATCCTCGGGTACTTTGCCTTCTTTCCACACCTTCTCCAGTAGTGGCGTCATCAAGTCCGCTGTTGTCTCTAGGTCCATTTTCAATGCTTCTGCTGGGATTCCATCTGGTCCTGCTGCTTTTCCAGCTTTTAGCATCTTGATTGCCTTCAGGACTTCTGATTTCGTCGGGGGGTTGTTGTTCACTGGTAGCTCTGTCTCCGTTGTTGGTATTGTTGGGCGCGTTGTAGGTGGTAGTCGATTTAGAAGTCTTTTGAAGTGTTCAGCCCAGTGTTCCCTTCATTAGGTAGCTTAATGAAATGAAAACCTTGTACATGTTATATCACACTAACAAACATTCACACACATGTACACAATTCTGGCATATTACTTCATCTTTTTATAAATCAGAATTGGCTCATAGAATGTTTCATCTAAATGTAATCAACTGTGTAATTATGCGTGTGTGTTTTTTTATTGTCCAGTATTTACTATCAGTAGACAATACATGCATGCATACACATTCATATACACCTGCATTTGTCTGTATGCTAGAGAATATATTCATGTTACATAAGAGGAGTGAGTCTATTTGTTCATAGTCTTCAATGTAAATAAAATGTGAAATATATGTGTATGACTCACAGAGAATAAACATTGAATTAATAAATACATGTGAAGAGAAAGAAAAACAAAGCAAAACAAAAAATCATATAAGCTTCTAAGTTCAACAGACAATTAAATCTACACTCTACTTATGTGTCTACTTTATTTTTTTTTTATTGAATCAAGGTAACTTAAAAACTGTCATCATTAGTAAGTAGTATAATTTACATATATGTATATGTAAAGAAACACTAAGAAAGAAATGCTCAAAATTTGCATGTCTATTTCATGCAAATAACATCTTATCTTGACTTCAATTTATAAAAAAAAAACTTTTTTTTTACTGATCAGTAAAGTTTGACAGAAAAGAATATTACAAAAAAGAAAGAAGGGTGAGTTAAATATGACTGTAAGTTTTTATCACACTAGGTGAAATCGACTGGCATACCAATAAAAACCAAGCTTCATTACACATGCACTTTATCCTCGTAAGTTATTTCTGAGTAAGGCATAATTTGAATTCTACATTGAATTCAAGACGGCATGGTCATCCGTTAGGTGAACAGAAGATAGGGTAGTCGCATGTTTTGTCCTCGGCAAAATTCAGTATGCACACAATATACGGTTAGGCTAACTAAAGGGTGTGTCATTACTTTTGTAAATTTGACACCCAGAAAATTATCACATTTTAAAATGGGTAGCTTAAACCTATCTACATGAATAAAAACAAAGATCATTCCTTTAAAGGACTAATATCATCTTTAGGTTTGACCGCAACCAAATTCTCCAGATTTAATCCTATTTCTGGAAGGAGGTAGCTCACCGAGAGTGATATAAACAGTATTTGCCCAAGTTACCCTCCTAACTGTTCTCATTGGCGCAGTTATATTCACTCTTTAACACCTATGAGATTTTCAAAAGAATGGACACGGAACGAAGAGTACTCTTTTCGATAAATTCATCATCAGGCTCTACATTTATTTATACATTATAATGAATGAATTAATTAATTAGTCTTATGAACGACATTATTGTTTGAATAACATCAAATCAATGATATCAATAGATTACAGCTCAAGAGCATCAACATAAAATAAGCTAAATGTCAGAAAAATTGGGAAAGATAATATTACAAATTCATGAACTGATAGTCTCTACTGAAGGCCAGGGCAATAGTAGGTGCTGGACTTGCTTCTTTTGAACACACAGCACTGGTTGTTTGAGGCGAATTGCAATAGCCTCTTCTGTTTGGAGAGTACGATGCTTCGACGATTTTGGTAATTTGTTAGGCACCCCGTATATTATAGAGAAGGATTCTTCCACGCTGGCTTTGTGGCCGGTTTGCACCAGATGGTCTAATATCGAACTGTTAATGGTTTTAACTACACCTTTACTAAGCCGTAGTGGGAGATGTTCTCGAGCACGAACAATCAACTTCCTAGAGCAACGGCCAACATAACTCGCTCCACAAGCGCAGTTGAATTGATAAATACAATTTGAAGTGGCTAGTTTAGGTACTTCATCTTTCAGTCGAGGTAGCACCATCCGTTGTAGTTCGCCAGCATTAAAAGTTCTTTGAACTGATTTTCTTAACTTCTTCGTAATTAACTCGCTTGGTATATCGCCCATGAAATGTAGTCATATATAAAGTGGCTTCTTGTTTACAGATAGTGGGTGGTCCTTTCCGGCTTTCTTTGTCATATGTTTCTCAATAAATTTGTCAGGATAACCATTTTCGATTAAAGTATCGTATACCATGCTTAATTCATCTTTAATTACTTCTTCAGAGCATATAGCTCTAACTCATGAACTACCATTGATTTTCGACTATTGTAGTTTCCTTACATTTTCTTCCTCCATTTTTGAGTGTGCCTTTCTGATATTTGGCAGCTTAAACTGATGAACATTTTTGTGCAAAAATCTTTCCATGCCAAATTAAATTTGAAAACCTTTGACACTTTCAAGTTTTTGCATTCAATCTTGATCACGAACTGACTTCAGCTAGAGAACCATTGAAAACTAGAGAGGAACTGGACAGTTGTTTCGTCCTTGTTTGGGATTTTTGAGCTTTCACTTTTAAAACAGAACATACCTTGTATATGCTGCATCAGCTAGTTACTGTTTAAGTGGTAAATCTAATCCCAAGTGTTAGAGGAAGTGAATATCATGTCTGTGTCAAATTATACGGAAATAACAATAATACATTCACTTATCAATTTTGTATAATCTTACTTGCGCACATATTTAACTGGCCATACTCTTACAATTGTATAAGTATCTGGATCCAGTAACTCGAATGCATTTTCTTTTAGACGTAATAAATACCGACCAGACAAACCTAAATCTTTTGATTTTTCTGTATGAATTACATAGACTGAAAAGGTATCTAATAGAAGAAAGAAAGATTAAAAGAAATAAAATAAAATCGCTTTATTGTTAAAATGGTTGGTTGTGGTAAATTAAAGATAAAGAAATTCTTATCATTAAATTTATTGTTTAGTTAATAAACTTATTTATCAGTATTATTCTCCTTCAACAATGCTCTTCTATTACAGCGATATATTCATACTAATGCAAATGAATTATCAGTTTGCTTATTGTTAAACAAAACGCAATTCAAAAGCACATTCAGATTATCATCAGAGGAAACTGTTGTGATAACTTATTAATTCACTTAGTCATTGACTGGAGTTTCGTGAAACAGTAGGAGTCAGTGGTTGTAACGAGTGCTCTGAGAAAAGACAGAGAGACAAATAAGGAATTTCCTGTTGTTGTAAACCTGATAATTTATCTTACATTACTGCCTGATTCTTTAAAACCAAATCAGTATCACATCAACTTTATAGATGGTTAATTAAATTAAATGTTTTCCGAGACGGTATCATTTTTTACTAATTGGATGTTCAATATACTTTTTTTATACGAGTTTGACCACGGATTGATATCAGTTAGAGAACCATTGAAAACCAGGGAGTAATGGACAGCTCTTTTATCCTAGTTTGGGAATCATTGGCATAACGCACCCACTGGGGTTCGAACCTAGGACCTTCCGGTTCCAAGGCAAGTTCCTATACCATTCAGCCACTGGGACCCGACTTTTTTATTCCTCTACGTTCCCGGTAGAACATAAGGATTCAAGCTAGAGGCTTGAAGTTTCAGTATCGGTGGTATGTACTTCTACGGGATGGCGTTGCTAGCCTCATGCCCAACCTTCCCCCTTTACTAGTCTTATTGCTGGGTTAGCGAGGTAAAGGAGTGCGTCGGCCGGGGACCGAACCCCGGTAAAATTTTGTAGACACAATAAGATTAATATCTCCAAACTGCATTTTTTATTAATACACAGTGGGTTTTTTATGTTTACTGGAATAGTTCCAATGCACCATGTTGAAACCGATATAGACATATCCCAGAAATCGATAATTACGCTATTTTTTAGAAATTACATAAGAATTAAACACAAACTGATTCAAATGGTTTTCTAATTAGATTCCATGAATGTGCGAAATTTGGCGAAGAAGCATTCGAGTTTTAGCTGCTACTAACATGTAATTAGGTCTACCTTGAAATTTATCACTTCCCTACAAAAATGTAACCTATCAGTATCGAGTCAGTATTTATTATGCTTTTTGTTGAAAGCAAAACAATCCATCTAAATTTTCTTTAAAAAGAAATGTGATGAGTGAACTCTTAAAAACAAACAAAAAGTGAATTAGGACCCGCATCTTTTAAAAAAGAACACTACCATGTTCACATGTTATTAGTTTCGTTAATAATTATCATGAGACTATATTTTATTTCTCATAAAATAATTGTTTCACTTGTTAACCGACGTTAATTAAAGCATCGATGCTCATGAATAGACACCAAATCAATTCAAATGACACTGGTTGACGAGATGCAAACACGTCTCTCTATTTCTAGCAAGTACTTGTTGATCCGATAAGTTGTAATATACTGATCAATACTTACTCATGAGACGGCGAAAACATCTGGTATTATCATTGGTGAGCATCCTGTCTTATTTACCCCAAAGATGAACTTACTTAATTTACATAATCAAACTGAAATCTGACCTAGATAACTGTAATACATATAGTCTGGTAGATTAGTTATTTTTAAAGTGTTATATAAACAAATATAGCTTAAGGAAACTTATCTAGCGAATATAAAATTTGTTTTCAGTGGTTTGGTGGATTTAATTATGTGGGAAGTGAACTGAGGGAGTACTATAAACGACAGGACATTAATCTTAGGCTTAAATTCAATAAAAAGACTACTACTTATCACAGTTTAATTACCGAGAGCATTGAATCGACAAATAACCGGTAATTGGTATTAGTGTAACGACAGAAGGCAAGAGTCAGGCAACAGATCATTTATTAAGGAAATCAACGCATATTTATATATTTTCATGTACATTACTATGGATATTTAAGCAAACAAACACAGTCTTCCGATTGGTTGTTTCTCACGTAAAGTTAATCTTTCATCTATTTGTGACTATTTCTTGAATGTCAAATCCTCTATATGTTAACTGCATCCGCCTACGCAAAGTCTTCTGTGGTCGGTTTTGAATCAATATTTGTTCACATTTTCTCACGACAAATCTTGGGAACGTAAATGTTGACGTAAATTACTGTCTACCAATTTGGCTAGTAGACAGCTCTCACCACATTAGTTTAATCAATACTATGAGGTTCCACCGGGAAACTTTGATTTGTATCGCAGACGGCCGGAGGCGTTGATAAGGGGCATAGGTCTCTGATGACTTTGAACGGTGTTTACTCCGAAGTGTGGCGCTGATCAGTTTGTTTTCTCATGAATGAGAACAAACATTCTGTAGAAATTCTAATATATTCCTTCTCAGTTTCCAATAATTTTCTGTCTTGTACAGATTTATACAGTGAAATTTTCACTGGTTGATTAAGTGCTTTTCTAAAGTAGTCTAAAAAACCTCATATCACTTAGACTTCTTTCACCGAAACAATCTTTGAGCGATCCCCTTAAACTGATGAAGTGAGGAGTGCATAGTTCGGATCGGTGAAACTGAAGAAATTCATAGGATAATCTGTAGATAGTGATCAGTGTCATGCTACCCTAAACGCAACACTGATGAGACGTTTTCAGGAGTGTTTATCATGTCGCTACTAAATTTACCAACTACATTATCATTATTCACTGGATTCAATGTCGTTTGGTTCCACATCATCAACAGAAAACACCGAAAATATGTTTTGTAAAGAAAAGCGTTGATTACTCTATCACTGAGTTTTCTGGTCACACAAATTAAACGGACCTGCTGTCGTTAACACCGATAGCTAAAAAATGTGAATCCATTCGTAAAGTTGCTGGATGTGAAAATCATTCATGTTCAGAATATCTGTCTGATAACCTTCCTCATCATAGTGCTAGGGAGTGAAACTTTAAGTTCTCAAAAAAGTATATCTTTGAACAGAACCAGTGATAAGCCCCAGAAAATTTGAAATCTACAGATATGAATTCGAATAAATCTAACTTAATAAAATGATAACTCTAAATACGTAAATGTTGAATGTCTAAATACAAACTTGTAAAAGAAGCAAGTTAGCCTACCTGGTGCTGAAGTACTCTCATATATTTCATTATCTAAAATATTTGGCAAAGCTGAAGCAAGCAAATCCAATTCTGATGTTTGAGATAAGCTTAGTGCAGACGCTCGGATCGTGTCAGGACCACTAAGGGTATTTTTCTTCCCTCCATGTTTTGATATTAAAGTTTTCAATGCTGAATACCATATATCTTGATCAAAAGGTGTAGTAAAACCCAACCATAATTGTTTCTTCCCGAATAGAAATCGTGAACTCAAATGTATTTGATAACAGGGAACCGGAGTTTGCACAGAGTTTGAAGAATGCTTTATATTTGAATGATTACACTCATTTGATACTGATGTATGACTACAGAGTAGATGTTTTCGGCATATTTTGAATAAATTCAGTTGAATAACAATTTTTGTATCAGGTAAGTCTAATGTTTCATATTCTGTATCTTGCAAGTCAGCTGTAATTATTGCATTCTTTGGGTCCTGATGTAAAATAAGCACTGCTCGATTCCATTCTTTCTGTAATTATTATAAAATAAAGCTTTACTATTTAGACAAAATGTTAGTAAAAATATTTATCCAAAGATATAATATACTGAATTGAAAGATACTTGTAAGATATATACAGTAAAAATATTTATTTGTGTATCTATTCTATTTCTTTTTGTAGGATAAAGCCTCTCTGTTTATCATATTAACACTGAATGTTTTTCATCGCCTTCTTATTTTTCAGTTATCATATAAACTTCCGAATAATATTTCAAATGAAAACTGTGATACTAAAAATATGGTGTAAAAATCGTTTTGGTTACCACTAAACTCGTTATTATGATATCATTTTTAAATATCGAAAGACAAAATGATCATTACCACGAAATCGAATACAATAGTGAACTAGACTGAATTTTCAACATCAAACTTAAATAGTTCAAGCTGTCACACTTCGCAAAAACATATAATAAAAGTGGAGAAACAGCGAAATCCAAAGAAAATATAATAAAGTGAAATATGTGAGAGAATAATACATGGGGAATAATGATAATTTAATCACATGGGAGTTCATAAAGAGTGAATGCATCTCCTTCATTGAGAGCAGTTTTGACCCATGTCATCAACAATCTCCATCCATTGATTCTTAGAGTCTCGAGGACCCCACCCAGGCATTCTGTACTTTTACAGGTGACTCATGCCAACATCCACAGGCTTCATGGATTGATATCACGTTTTTGACCACTCCTAACTCTTATCTAGCCTAATCTTTAACCAGCTAACATTATTTGACGAAAAAGATAACGGTACAACATATCAAACCATAACTGAGTGAAATGTAGTGGACCAGCACCCTTTTATACGAAAAACACAAAACTAATATTATTTATAATTTGAAATATGCAATCAACTCTGCGGATATGTCTTTAATATTCAGAACACATGAGTATTTTTCCTAGTGCAAAGATAACTACTGAGTTTTCATATATTCTAGCCATAAATATGTATGAATCATTTGACACCGCATGTTATCAGATAGTGAATAGAAGAATCCTCCCCTTCCCTTGAACCCTATTTCCGTCAGCATTCGTATGCAGTGTCTATCTACAAAATCACGTAAACTGTGAAATTTGGGTCTTAGTTGTACAGCTTGAAGATTTCCTTGAAGTCTCTAGACAATGGTATAACGTCATATTAAAGTGCATCACAGAATATAGGAGTCTCGAATCACTAATAATCCTCTATCGGTTTTTCGTTCATTTACTATACCTGATAAATGTGTGCGAAACCACGCGTTAAGGTGATTTAGCACTGCATCTTGTGAGTACGCAGGTTCTGAAGCCATTGGCAGGAAATGATATCATCTATTGAAAGAACGTCCTGTTTGACTATGTCTTGTGAGATCCTATAATTACATATATGTTATGGACATCGTATGAAACCAATTTTTCGGAGACATTTTTGGTGAGATAGTGTCATCGTTTCATGGAAAAGAAGTGAAAATGGTCACACATAGGTTATAGATTTGTCAGACTAACAACTCATTGGCAGCAGACGTGACCTAGACTGAAGCAGACTAGTTTGACCTTCGGCATAAGACTGTATATTTCCTTCTTAACAATTCCACTGGCAATTAGACAGCCGTCTAGTTACATGAACTTTTCAATAACTTCTAACGGTCCCTATCTGAAGGTAAATGCGGGAACAGGCTCTCAACAACTTGTATTTATACGGTGCTGAGTATAAACAATGGTCAAAGACCATGAACATCAGCTTGTTAGACTACATTTGGATTGCCTGTATGTTGCCTCAGGAAGAAGCAATACTGTTTTCGTAATCAAGGTTAAATAGCTTTTCTCCAGAAGGAAGACAGAAGTTCACTCACCCTCAGCCTTAATCCTTCATACTTTCAGGTTGCGAGATAAGGTGGAGAAGTTTGCTGACTTCTTGAGGGCCTAAATCTTACTGTTAAGTACTAAAGTTGAAAAATGAAATCCGTTTTCACCAATATTTTTAAAATAAACCACCAGTGTAGACACGTGTATTATTCGCGAAAAATCTAGTATTTCAAGTTCTCTGCCATTGTATTCCCAATAATAGAAATTCTTCCTGATATCATTAAATAGCATTTAGTCATTGAATTAAGGCTGGTCGTTTCATTAATTTTGTTATTATTTAGTATCCATTCCTTGCATTCCAAGTGGGACATATAGCCTCATCACTTCATTTCTACTGCTCTCAGTTCTCTAACATCACTTCCAATTAACTCCACAACCACCAATAAGCTTTTATTTCCTCCTCCATAAGGCCCTGTAACACCCAGCCCATCTTTTCCAACCAGAATTTCTGGTGCACGATGTCACTCAGAGGTCTTCTCAATGTATGTCCAGTCCATCCCCATTTCTTTCCGCATATTTACTTGGCGATTCCCTGCCTGCTAGAGTTCGCTGTTGTTTGGTTATCTTTCCCGGCCGGACATGTTACTTTCAGTGTTGAACAAAGACAACTGCTGGTGAAGGTTTGCAGCCTGTTAGGAATGCTTTCAGAGAAGTGTTAAGTTTCTGAAGTACTAACTTCCCAGCGATGTGTGCGATAGGTTTCCATAATGATTTCAGAGTACTGAACGCCTATGTTGCTTTTCCCCATCTTGGCTTACTCTGACATTCACATCTGTGGCACATGTAGTTAAAAAGGTGTTGCCTAGACAACTATTTATAAGAAGTGACTTCCTTTAGATTTCCACCACTGATGGTGGCTGGTGCTTGTTGGTGTTGATCGGGTATTTTCACCACCTGTCTTCTCTGTGTTCACCCGAAGTCCTGTTTTTACTGCATCTAATGCCAAATCTCTTACTTTCGCTTTTTAATCTTTGCCTTTTTAGAAGTGAGACAGAATTCATCTGTGAAGTGCAGATATTGTAGGAAGCTTTTGTCAGTCAAACGTATGACCATCTTCTCAGTCTCCACAGCTTACTTCAAGATCCAGTTCACTACAATGTATCATCGATGTAATTCTGTCATATGGCCATAAATATTTGACTGCTCATGTTTTAACATCTTCAAATTCATTTTCCTCTATCTGTCTATCTATCGCTCCTATAAGTTTCATTGTCTTAAAATCTAGTCAGACTTATATTTTGCCACCATAGCACCTAGAATCACTGCCACGTAGGCACATCAATTAAAAAAGATATAAATAAAATTATCCAGTCATCAGGTGTTATATGGTAAATTAAGAAAAAAGACGCATATAAAAACTGTGATAATAAAATTATGATTAAAAATGAAATGTATCTTCAGGTAACCAGCGTTAGATAAGGGTTTGATTTATAAAAGCTCGTGGGATCCACTCAATAATTCAATTAATTTAGTGAGAAGATATTGTCTTATATACACAACATATAAAATTATGACATGTGTCTAACAAATAAAATAGATGACACTTTCATACTTTTCAACTCAATAAATGCAAGTCTAACGTTTACTTGTCCTATTTATGTATATTAACAATTTGTGAAACAACGGTTTCCTCTAGTGTAGATTTTGTCACAAGCCAGCACAACTCAGAGAATCGCCGTTAACATTAGAGCAATGAACAACTCTTTTTTCTCTATTTGTGATTGCTCAGTAGTGTGCACCAGCTATCCCATCAGGGATCAAATCCAATGACTACGGATTATTAGATGAGACCAGTAAATATCCGGCCACTGGCTTGGAATCCAATGACTTAAGGATTTTAATTGACCTAGGTATATTAATTACATCAAATACTGTCACATTTTCACAGGATACCCCGTAGTATTTTGCAATCTTTACATTGTGAAGGCTCTTCACATTAGAAGCCCTTAAATTCACAGCGTAACAGTTGCCTCAGTCGTTTGTTTCGGTAGCAGTTCTGTTTATTTATTAGCATAAACATAATTTTGACTTTAAATAGAATCTTTCAACAATTTCCTCATTCACCATACCTTGTTTGCTGGATAGTTTGTCAGGAACTTAAAATATCCCCTTGTGCGCAGAGACAGGTCATTCATCAGTGAATTTGAAATTCCGCGTATTATTATTTCGTGATTTGAAGGCCATTGCCTTTGAAAACTTGGCTCAAAATGTAGAGTTTACAATGTTCGCCATTAAGTGAAACATCTAGTTTTTTCCTACTTCTTTCAGTGTGTGCTTTCTAAAACTCAATTATGACACTGCAGGTTTTCATGAAGGGTTCGGGGTACAACAATTTAAAGTCATAAAGTGGTTGCAGGCTGCTACCAAAAGTTCAGTAAGTCAGCCTAGTGGAGTCGTTACGGTTTCCGAGGAAATTATCCAAAATGCTATTTCATCATCCGGTAAATGAATAAATGCTTGTATTTAGTACAACATTTTCTACAAATAGACCACTCTTTGATGCCAAAAAAACATCAGATTAACTTGAGAGAGGGGAGAAAGTGGGTGCGAATAGATTTCCCATCAACTGAATTCATTTATCTCCTCGATGTGTTCTCTCATAATAATCCTGCTATGGAGATTTCCAGCCGTGAACTCAACTAAAATAAGTTTCTATCACAAGTTGACTTCAGTTAGAGAACCACTAAAAACCCAGGAGGGTAGTGTGTAGATGTCTCGTACATGTATAAGACTCTCCAGCTGCGCATTCCCATGGATCCACCAGGACCTTCAGGTCACAAGATGAACTCGTATATCACTCGGCCAGTGGGACGGAAATTCAGTGGACCACCAGTTCTAACTTCTGCCAGTCCGCTATATAGCGTGACCTCTAGCCAGTGTCATCGCATTCAAGTTCACCTTGAAGCAACAAACAAGCACCAGAAATTCTATGCCTACATCATTCTCCACTCAACACAGTCGTCATCGCTCTAAGTTTCTGAACCGGAGATATTTCCCTAGTTCTGAAAGATCTGTTTCTTGTCTTCATTTGCTCCTCGTATGAGTAGGACAAGCACTTTGGAAGTTGAAAGACAGAGGATCAACCACCAATGCAGAATATTATAGACAAGAAATTTTGAGGAATTATTTACCGTTACAGGTCACTCCCCTCCAGTGGATCGACGAAACCAGTTGGAGGTAAAAAGTTAATTGTGGCACCGTTAGCGGAACTCTACTTATATGCACGATTTCAGCGGGTCAGTCTCTGCTCATTTGCCCATGTTACGGTGATGTATGTACCTGGATTCATTGAACTATTCATAAGTTGATTCTCACGCCTCATTTGCTTCTTCCCAGTGTCTGTCGCATCTGGAATAGAGAACAAGAATGCTTAGAACTTTGTTAATACAATTACTAAAGATAATTTTTTATTTGGAACAGCATATGTAAATTCACAGTCAGCGAAGCACATTCATGACGCGAAATGCAGTGAAAAATAATCTGAATACATAAAAGGTATGTCATAATCATAATTGGTTTTTAGAAAAATAAGACAACTCCATTGCATCCCGTAAAATAAATGTCAAGGGGGCTTGAGGAACTTCACGTTTCGTCCAGAAAGTACTTTTTTGTCTCCGTAGAAGCTTACTCTGCCTTCGTCTTGCTGGTTACTTCTTCGAGTACTAGCAGATGTTCTGTTAGCTGGGTGTTATTCGGAATGACTGGTTTCCAGAAATACTCCGCATTCCTGAGAGGCATGAGCTTTTTGTTCCTTGGACTAGCAAGTATGAAATTAACGTCCACATAATTATTTGATTCTCCAGTGGGAATAGTCAACTTCTTCCATTCTCCTGTCCTAGAATTCCGTCAACGTCTCCCTAATCGCCGTTTTATTGAAGGATGAGATATACTGATGACCGGCCTTAATGGTAAACCCAGTAGCTTGTTGGCTGTGCGTCATCTAACCCTCCTTATATAAGTTCGCTCAAGCATTATGAAAGTATTTAGACCTTTTCAGTAAACCATGAGTCTGATACTTGCCTCTTACACTTGCATTGCCACATCACGTTTTCTTGGCGTGTAATTTATGAAGAATTTGAGTTATTCTCAGTAAAGGTACCAGCAACACTTCTAGGTTTCTAACAAACTGCTATCCATTCCTTGTGTCACCCCTTTGGCAACCTTCCATTTAGCACTCCTATAGCCAAAACCAGATTCGTCAGTGAAATCAAGTGACCAAGTTATTTTCTCATAAGACAACCGCCTGTTGGGGAAAACTTCAAGTATTTTGGTGTCATTCTTTAGTATACATTTTCTTCCAATTACTTTGAAGTCGCTCTCAGACAATATTTGTGATTGATGTAAGGCCAAATAACCTTAAAGTTCAAGGTAAAGTCTGAGATATTTTTCGTGTAATTTAACATTCTGTTGTGGTTTCCTTTGTTTTTATTCTACTACGCCAACCATGCACTCCTAACAAGAGCAAAATAAACCGTACAAGATGTCATACAACTGAGACTTTGAAAGTGTTCTCGAGAAACGGTGACGACTGAAAGATATGCAGCTGTGTTTTTTGCAAAAGCGGTTCGGCCCCAGAATGCAATTTACGCAGCCAATGGATGAACTTTTGACTTGACAAAAGAGATTTTAAGAAACAACCCATGTCCTAGATTTTGTTAAATATGCCCAAACTGTTGTCGCGACTCAGTGTTCTACAGGACAACACGAAAGAAGCATATCCAAAGGCAGACAGAAACTCCAAACTGATACTCAAGCTACCTAGTTAGGAGTATAAAAACTGAAGACATCTGAAGCCACACCCCATGATCATTCAACTCGTATACGCCCCACAAACACTGCCATGAGAACTACATCTAGTTCTAACACCCCTATACTGTCGAACGTAATCTTTGTAGTGCTCTACAGAATATTAAAACCCTGAAGCAGGCTAGGTTTCTTACCTCAGAAGTGAAGACAAGAAACCAAGGACTGAACCTAAGCCCAAGATTATTCTAACAACTCACCAGTGTGTGGCGTCAGCGTACCGAAACAAAAGGCACTGCATGATCAGAGGCAGTGGTCTAATTTGTGCAGCATACTAGGGCTAAACTCTAATTCTGTAGAGCTGTGCGCACTGTACAGGGACGCCCTGGAACCTCAAGATAAACTACCCCACATTAAGGGCAAGACTGATTCCCGCTGAAGACACCCAGAATACATTGCAACTCCCCAGAGTTCTAATTATGAAGAGAACTTCCTGTGAAAAAGTATGGTTTGACAGGCCATTGTCAGTCTGGCATATTGCGAGCCAGTCACGGGAATCAATGCACTCCACCTCTATAGTCATGCACGGTGCTCTGACATTCCTTTCGAGAAAAAATACTGTGATGTACAGTTGTGAAGATTACCATCATTTCAGATGATTCTTGGTGGTTCTGCGATAATATCTAACTGTGGATTGTTCAGCCTTACTCACTGCTTATCAGTCAGCTCACCAGGGTAACTAGCTATTAAATCCGGCTCCTCTAAACAGCTGGCTGAGATTCTCCAACACTGATACGAGATCAAAGCAGGCATATTCAGTGCTGATAAAACCAACCACGAACCTCAAGGAGGTGCAAACTGGGAATACAATGCATTCTCATGCTCTAACAACATTACAGTGGCGTAACACTGATGACGATGACAACCAAGTATATTCAAGTGTCGTAGAAGGAATGGGGAAAACCAGAAGTAGGCCGATTCCATTATAATCGGTCAGCTACTACGGGCATTAACTCCTCAACCAACAGTCTACTCCATGCTAACCACTTCTCAGTTACGGCGAGTATATAGCAGCATAAGGGGCTTGAGAGAAAAAGAATATGAACTCAAAAACCTACAGTCCTATCTTGGTCTCAAATTAGTAATACTGAAAGGAACTGACAATAAACATTATGAAGCACAAGATTGTTGATACTATGCAACGACTCCGTTACTGGTATGGAATAACTGGACACAATTTTGTTATATGAGCGTTCCAGTCCACGCTGACTTTCTCGATTTTGCAAAGTCATTCGGCACCGTTCAGCGAAACGCTCTCCATCACTAAACAGACCAGAAATATACTGACTGTCCGCTTCTGTCATGGTTGGAAGATCACCTGGGCAGAAAAGAGTCCCGTGCCGAAGTCAACCGTATCCGACTATCCGGAGGCAGAGCAGCCTCGGGGATTTCACAGTGTTCTGTCTTGGAGCCCTTGATTTTCATCGATGGCCATTCATGACACCCCAGCCGCCATTTCATTCTTTATGCCGGTGGCGTAAATATTAGGTTAGCAGCTAAATTTTCGGAAGATTCAGACAGGCTGCAGGCAGAACTAAATATTCTGGAGGGGTAAACACAGGTCACTGGTACATATTTCAGTCTTAAAAAGTGGAGAGGAGTTCAACTATATGCCCTGTCGCTGAAGAGCCAGTTACACACTGTTTGATGACAACTGACTCTGTACAGCACCACCGAGCGATCTAGGATTCGTTTCTATGGACGAACTTGATATAAATGTGGGTTACCTGGGCGACGTGGCCGAAGCATATGCGGTCCCACATTCCATATGCACACTCCTAAGCTTTTTCAAAGACTGTACAAAACATGTGCACGACCACACCTTAAGGTACATAGTGTCACTGCTCCCCTGTTACTTCAAAGGGATGTCAGTCTTTCAGAAAGGTCTTAAAAATGGCGGTAAAAAGAACTATGGGTCTTAAAAACAAATCATATGATAGAAGGTCGAGGAAGTTTGTCTTATTCGTACCAAGTGCCGTTAGCTTGGATGTGACCTAATTACTGCTTACAGGATCACAAATGACCTTATTCACCCTGACAAAGGTGTTCTATCTTGATGTTCCTGGCAACCCACAATAAATTGCACACCAGACATCGTAGACTCCAGTGCTCATCCACTTCTTTTCGCATTCATTTTGCTGCCCCTGTAACTCTTTCTAGCAACTGAAGTCATTGTATATTTGGTGTAGTGCCTGAATCGGAGGCTGGATATTCACTCAGCGACATGGTGATTTCGTTGCAACGGGCTATTCCGTCGATTACCAAATACCACATTGTATTGATGGGTATTAGCTAGGCCCATCCTTGACTCCTACCCGGTACACTTAACCTA